AACAAATCGTCTTCTTTCTCTAATAATTTAATGAAAATTAAAAACTTCCGCGCTTCGCGCGGCAGGGGGGAACCTGAATTCAGACGAGGATTAAGAGTCGAGAACTGTACAGCCAACCGTCTTCTTTCTCTCATAACATTATGAAACTTAAAAGCTTCCGCGCTTCGCGCGGGAAGGGGGGGACCTAAATTCGGACGAGGATTAAGAGTCGAGAACTGTACAACGAATCGTCTTCTTTCGAATGATTTATTGAAACGTAAAAGCTTCCGCGCTTAGCGCGGGAGGGGGGGGAACTGAATTCAAACGAGGATTAAGAGTCGAGAACTGTACAGCCAATCGTCTTCTTTCTCTCATAATCTTATGAAACTTAAAAGCTTCCGCGCTTCGCGCGGGAAAGGGGGGGGGGGGGACCTGAATTCGGACGAGGATTAAGAGTCGAGAACTGTACAACGAATCGTCTTCTTTCGAATGATTTAATGAAACGTAAAAGCTTCCGCGCTTCGCGCGGGAGGGGGGGGGGGGGCTGAATTCAGACGAGGATTAAGAGTCGAGAACGGTACAACGAATCGTGTTCCTTCTCTAATGATTTAATGAAACGTAAAGGCTTCCGCGCTTCGCGCAAGAGGGGGGGGGGGGGGAACCTGAATTCAGACGAGGATTCAGAGGCGAGAACGGTAATACGAATCTTGAATGATTTAATGTTACCTTCCGCGCTTCGCGTGGGATGTAGGGGGAACTAAATTCCGACGAGGATTATTTTCGAGAACGGTATAACGAATTGTCTTCTTTCTCTAATGATTTAATGAATCGTAAAAGCTTCCACGCTTCGCGCGGAAGGGGGAAAACTGATTTCAGACGAGGATTAGTGTCGAAAACGGTACAACGAATCGTCTTCTTTCTCTAATGATTTAATGAAAATTAAAAACTTCCGCGCTTCGCGCGGCAGGGGGGAACCTGAATTCAGACGAGGATTAAGAGTCGAGAACTGTACAGCCAATCGTCTTCTTTCTCTGATAACATTATGAAACTTAAAAGCTTCCGCGCTTCGCGCGGTAAGGGGGGGGGGGGGGGGACCTAAATTCGGACGAGGATTAAGAGTCGAGAACTGTACAACGAATCGTCTTCTTTCGAATGATTTATTGAAACGTAAAAGCTTCCGCGCTTAGCGCGGGAGGGAGGAAATGAATTCAGACGAGGATTAAGAGTCGAGAACTGTACAACGAATCGTCTTCTTTCGAATGATTTATTGAAACGTAAAAGCTTCCGCGCTTAGCGCGGGAGGGGGGGAACTGAATTCAGACGAGGATTAAGAGTCGAGAACTGTACAGCCAATCGTCTTCTTTCTCTCATAATCTTATGAAACTTAAAAGCTTCCGCGCTTCGCGCGGGAAGGGGGGGGGGGGGGACAAAAATTCAGACGAGGATTCAGAGGCGAGAACGGTAATACGAATCGTCTTCTTTCTCTAATGATTTAATGAATCGTAAAAGCTTCCACGCTTCGCGCGGAAGGGGGAAAACCGATTTCAGACGAGGATTAGTGTCGAAAACGGTACAACGAATCGTCTTCTTTCTCTAATGATTAAAGGAAACTTAAAAAGCTTCCGCGCGAAGTGCGGGAGGGGGGAACCTGAATTCAGACGAGGATTAAGAGTCGAGAACTCTCCAAAGAATCGTAATAATTTAATAAATCGTAAATTTTTCCGCGCTTTGCGCGGGAGGGGAAAAACTAAATTCAGACGAGAATTATTTTGAGAAGGATACAACGAATCGTCTTCTTTCTCTAATAATTTAATGAAACGTCAAAACTTCCGCGTTCGCGGAGGAGGGAGGGGGAAACTCGCCCCTCCCTGCACTGACCCCCCCCCCCCCCGCATTACGTCACTGTTGGTCACCATTACGTACCAATATTTGGCTCGCATAATTTGAAATTTTGGCCCCCCCCTAAGAAATCCTGGATCCGCGCCTGATTCGGAGAGAGAAGATTAAAATAAATATTTAATTAAAGCAGGAGAACGAAAGACGCGTGAGAGCAAAAGAATGATTTAATTCCAATTATGATTGTCCAAAAAATCTTGGTTGAATAGAACTTTTAAGAATATTGAAGAATTGGGTTTGAATAGAATTCTTACCATTTTGAGGGCTTCTGCTGTCAAAATATTACTTCGGTTGGCAGTACTGTCATCCTCTGTGGCTGTAATTAAATAAATACCACCACAAAAATAAAATCGTAATTTTCAAAGTTGCTATAGAAAATAATGATAGAACAAAGCTGAACAGTGAATGATGGTCAAAAGAGTACTACCCCGGCTCTTTTCGGATCATGCTCGACGAAGCTTTGGAGTTTGGTAACTACAGAAACAATAAATCTGATTTAGATTAAGACACTATTCAAATGTGAATACTGTGTTTATGTGTTTAATAGGGTTATATGACTATTGGGGGAGCTTGAGGAAAATATTCCTACCTGACAAGAGACAACACAGTCTCCTCATACTCTTTCCCATTCTCTTTCGAAGTCGGGCGAAAAATCGTCGCTTACGAGAAGATCGGCGAGCCATTTCTCTTTGTGATATAAAGACAGGAGCAGAGCAAACGTCTTTATTGCAAGGAGAATTCATAAAGAATGAATCTCTTGTAGGTAATGCGTTACCAATGTAAACACAAAACTTGCGCATTTCATTGTTACGTATGATTTTTGGAGTAGGATTTTAGTAACGCGTTCCTGATTGGTCAAAAGTTTCTACTCGAACGCACTGGTGCTGAGTATACATTATTACGTAGGTCACGTAGGTCAGTGCGCGTAAATGTGTGAGAGGGCTTTTCCAATAGGTTGAAGTGAATACACGCGATGACCTCACGATAAGATTGTGTAGGTTTTGTCCCTTATAAACTGTCAAAAGCATGAAAGACAGTGGCGGCAGTGGCGGCAGTGGCGGCAGTGGCGGCAGTGGCGGCAGTGGCGGCAGTGGCGGCAGTGGCGGCAGTGGCGGCAGTGGCGGCAGTGGCGGCAGTGGCGGCAGTGGCGGCAGTGGCGGCAGTGGCGGCAGTGGCGGCAGTGGCGGCAGTGGCGGCAGTGGCCCCCAGCAACTTAAAAGAGAGAGAAGGAAGGGAAGGGAAAGGGAAAGAGGAGAGAAAGGGAAAGAGAAAGAAGAAAGGTAGGGGAGATGAGTTGCGAATATAATTATGCACATCTGACAGTGATTAAAACCCTTGAGCTTCTAGGGGCGCAGTCCTCTGGAGTCCTAGGGCGCTATATAGGCGGACACCTGTATACTCTTCTGACCGTAATTTAATGACTAAAACCCTTGAGCTTCCAGGGGCTCCGTCCCGTAGACCCCACCTAGGGCACTAAGCTGGGCCCCTAGATGCTCATTTGACGGTAATGTAATGCCTAAAACCCCTGAGCTCCTGGGGGCTCCACTCCCTGGACCCCACGCCAATTAGTGTCCTGCCAGAGTCAATAAGGTATCAAAATAATCTGACCGTAATTAAATTCCTAAAACCTCTGAACTTCCGGGGTCCTCGCCCCCTGGACCCAACCCAGGGCCCTAATGTCGGCCCGTATAGATGTTAATTATTTGACGGCTATTTAATGTGGTAATCAAATGCCTAAAATTCAAGAGCATTCGGGGGCTCTGCTCCCTCGACCCCACCAGGGGGCAAAGACGGACCCCTAAATGCTTATCTGACCGTTATAAAATGCCTCAAATCCTTGAGTTTCAGAGGGCACAGCCTCCTGGACCCCACACCAACTAGTGACCTGCAAATGTCCGAGGAATAAGGTATCAAAATATGCCCGTCTGACCGTAATTAAGTGCCCAAACCCCTGAGCTTCCGGGGCTCCGCCCCTTGACCTCCCTGACCGGGGCTTTGCCCCTAGACTCCGCGCCAATTAGGCTACGCTCTACCTGATAGTAAATACTTTAGCCTCCCCCACCCACTTTGAAAAACGTTCAGAGGGGCGTGCATGTAAGAGTGGGGTGATGCGGATTTTTTGTTTGTCTGCCCCCCCCCCCCAAAAAAAAAAATAAATTGCTCATTACGCCACTCCTGGTCACCATTACGGAGCAATATTTGGCTCGCATATTATCAAATATGCCCCCCCCCCCTAAGAAATCTTGGATCCGCGCCTGACCACATCAGGCCTATGATGAAGGGGCTATAACGAGGGGAGGGGTATTAATTGTGAGCCCCCAAGTTCTCAAACAAACAAACAAAATGAAGGGGGGGGGGGAGAAAGGAATGAAAACAAAACTAAGATAATATAATATGTCGCGAAGGCAATACGACGTAACTACATGTACAAGGGAGAGGGGTACATGTGTCGCCATCAATATTTAAGTAAAAAATAATAAAAAGGAAGAGAAAAGAGAAAAGAAGGGAGAATGGGAAAACGACGAGAAGGAAATATGCCTGACCCATGCACCATCTCCCCCCTAGCCAGTTTTCTGGTAAGATCGCCTCCCCCCCCCCCCCGCATCCCATAGTTCCAGTGTCCTCTCAATGGGTGGAATCACGCTTAACTATTTTAAGGTGCTAATTTACTATTCAATAAATTTGGAAAGAAAAGAGGCTATCGCATTTTTAGAAGCTATTATTTTTTTCTTGCCTGCTTAATTGCGCTTGTATAGCAAGCAAATAAAGCGCAAGCAGGCAAGAAAAAAAATTAGTCCTTTTAATTTAGCCGTGCATTTAGCAGAAATCTGAAACTTTAAAAGGTATAAGAACACAATTTTGGAGCACATTATGTACTTCGGGTATATAGATATAGGAGTTGGAAGGTTACACTTTATTGGTACGAGTTATACAGACTGTTTCGCCAGAAGGCTCATCAGTAATATATATATATATATATATATATATATAGACTTTTTAGATTTTAAGAGGGATCGACACACTTCCCACCGCCTCCCAAGATCCGCCACAGGATCTCAACGCACTGTAATGGACTCCATTAATTTTTTGTTCTGCGTCTGTTTTCTAAGACTAGGCATTGAAACGAAAAGGAATGGAAACATAACCAACTGAACATGAACATCTTCACTATGAAAGCTCCGATTTAAGATGAGCAGGATGATCAAACGTATCTTGCAGATCACCTTTATCTTTTATTTGATTGCAACTGTCTACACTGTGTATGTACTCTTGTGTAAGTTGATTTAGATCAATATCTAGTGTTACTTCGTCAAATTTCTAAATAAATGTTAATTTGCTAACTTGAAAATGTACGTGCGGGACAGTGTTTGAACATTGATTGCCAACTGTGTTGCTGGTGTGGTTGCTGGTGTGATTGCTGTGTGTCTTTTGATGTGCAAAAGCTGGAGACGCCTTGAAATTGCACCCAGCAACCGGGGGGGGGGGGGGGGGGGTCACCCATACATACCCCAGCGTGAAGAGTAAAATGGGCGCTAGTGACAGTTCCGTATCCATTTTTTTAAAGCAGTTTAATATCCATTAATCTTAGCAAAGGAATTTTAACTGATTTTAATCATAGATCTATCCCTATAATCTATATTGCATTTTCCACCTGAATTTGGATCACATTCGACATCGGGAAACCTTCGTTTAGGGCTTCAATGTCTACGTCGTCGCTCAGTACCTTCTCTGCGCTGTAGTCCTGCACCTCAAACTGAAGCTATCAGTACAAAATTATGAAGACTTCTCGTATGGTTTATGGTATCGCGCTTATCGCGCATACGAGAAGTCTGCATAATTTTGGACTGATAGCTTCAGTTTGAGGTGCAGGACTACAGCGCAGAGACGGTATTGAGCGACGACGTGGACATCGAAACCCTAAACGAAGGTTTGCTGATGTCGGATGTGATCCAAATTCAGGTGGAAAATGCAATATATGATTATGATTAAAATAAGTAAAAAATTGGGCTCAAATTCATTTGCTAAGAATGGATATTAAACTGCTAAAAAAAATGGATACGGAACTACACTAGCGCCGTAAAATGCATTCATGGTGTCTGATCGCGCGCCTGATGTTGTGTCCTAATCCTTCCCATAGTCTCATAGACATGATAGAGATTACACGCATCCTTTATTTGCAGTCTAGGCCTAGGCCTAGATGTGCATTGCGCAATCATGCAAAATTGTCAATGTTTCTATGACCAAATCGAGATTCAAACCTTTATTTCTTGTGATCCTGAAGGTGATACTGCCACTGGTGATATAAATGAGGTGTTATATGAAAGAGCAGATTAATCTCCATATTTCCAAAGGGGCGTCGTCTCGGAATTCTGAAAATATCTTGGTCAAAACAGCAATTTAAATTTTGCTGACCTCTCAGGAGTGTTCACGATGGTGGTCCTGCCGGAAACAGAAATACATGCAGTGTACAAGAAAATAGCTGTTTTCGCATTGCCAACTTTATACATAATTATCTATAATTTGGTTAAATTCTTGACTGATTTCAAAGTATGAGAGGAAAGAAAACTACTGTACTAGTTCTAGTAGGGTGTCTGAACGTTTTTTTTTCATTTTTCCCTTTTGTATTGTTTTTCACCATCATGGTCGGAAAGTTGAAAAAATCAACTACTCAGAAGAACACATTTTGCATTTCAAGGCTCACCGATCAAAAGATACAGCCCCAAAAAATCTAGGCATTAAAAAAAAAAAAAAAAATTGTCCAGAATGGACAAAAAAGTGGTACAAGCTGAGTTTTAATTTTTGCTCAAAAGCTGCACAGCACGGTATGCAAAGCGTGGGGTAACTAGGGTATTTTCAAACTGTAACTGCTCGTGATCCCTTGGGACTAGAGAAAAAATAAGCGCATGGATATATTCCTTACAGCTGGCCCAACTTACCCATCAGGAGCTCACTTCAGGAAATTGGTAAATCTCTGAGTTACCATGGAAAATTTTTTTAATTGCTGTTTTGATCAAGATATTTGTAGAGTTCAGAGTCAAGCCCCTTCAGGAATATGAAGAAAAACCTGCTCTTTCATATGACACCTCACTTATTGAGTATCACCTTCAGGATCACAAGCAGTATTGGTTTGAATCTCAATTTGGTATTAAAAACATTGACCAATTTTGCATGAGCGCGCAATGCACATGGACTGCAAAGGGATGTGTGCAATATCTATGGGAAGGATTTTAGCACACAAACTAAGTGCGCGATTAGACACCCTACTTCTAGCAGCTGGTGTCATTGGAATGGTTCACAAATATAGAACTGCAAGTCGTGTTACTTGTTCTACAAAGCAATTTTTTTCTATTCTTTTTCCAGTAGCTACAGATGAGAAGCACACATCCCATCAGGACCAGCAGGTTCCTGCCAAGATTCAACTAAAGGAGCCAAGACCGGGACCTGATATATCAAATCATCATGCACCTGTTAAGGCCAAGAACAGGACCTATCCAATTGAAATCTGGAGCAAAGTAGGCTTAGGTAAGTTAAGTTGAGAGGAGAAAACTCATTGGCATAAATCCTATGTTGAGAGCCAAATGGTTGCTAACTCTGTGATAATGGATGGGAGTTACCATCCTTCTGGCTTTTAGCGGACGAAGTAGTACGCAAAATCCCTGAAGATTTTAATGCCATTATCATTCCTATATACGATGACATTGTGACAGAAAACACCAGATACCTTGATAAGAGCTTTAGTTCTTCATTTGCCTGAATTTGATTTGAGAATATCATCCTATAGTATTCATTATACTATGAAGACTCAAATTTGTTATTTTGATACACTCTTTCCTTAGGGTTATTGTATAGAAATTCATACATCAGACACACAGAGGTTAATTGAAAGCCCCATTGATTTGATTTGATTTTGATTTGATTTATTTATTTCTGTTTGATTTTCTTTTTCTTTTGCATTTTTACAAATATATAACAAACAAATATTGCAAATTTACACATGACAAAAGAATATATGTAGAATAAAGTAAGGCTGGCTGTAACTAATCGAAAACATCAAACAGGAGGGTTGACAAAGTAAGCAAAGCTTGATAGTATGACTACCCTCAAAGGATACATAATAATACAAATATGGAGGAACAAAATATTGGTAAAAGGGGGAAAAGACAGAAAAAAAGAAGAGAAAAGAAAGAGGGGATGCACATCAATATTCACAGACTTATGTGGTAGTTGGATTTCAAATTGATATATAAAGATTTTAAAAAAGAAAATGCAAATTTGAATAGTGAGTGGCCAACTTGGGATATAATAGAATGAGAAGACTCGGGAGATTCGGACAATATGAATTTGAATTTAAGATCAGCCAGCTGGTTTTAAACCTGGGCCTGCGAGTCGGAGCCTTGAAGTGTTTGTATACAAGAAATTGTTTATTCAGTATCCCAAGTAGGCCATAACATTTTAAAGAAGCATCTTTTGGCTTTGGTTATTATGAGTTTTTATGTGTTTCCATTTTCTAGGCTCATATACTTGGGAGCATATATTAAATGGAAAGCTTGAATCAAGACTGGATGGCATCTGGTACTATGGCGAACTTCAAGTACATAACTTTGAGTTCAGGTAAACTTGCATTTTGTTGTGTCTCTTTAATTTGATTTTTTTTTCATGATTATTATTTGTTTTAATTTTGTTAACAAATTTCAGTAGAAGTATTAACAAGCATCATATGTTTAGGTTTTGAATGCAAAAGTATGTTATGGGTTTAAGCTTGTACTACTCGCATATTTTGATTAATTTTTCTTCAGAGCTGAGGAGGTATGTAGACAAACTTGCTACAGAGTGTGATATAAGATACAAATCCTCCCGGCAAATTGTAAATAATGTTCAAAATAGTGAATATCATTATTGTTTGAAGTGACGTTTTTTTGTATTACTATGTATTGCATGATAAAGGCCATTGTAGAAGCCTTTAACATTTTGTTGTGGATAAGAGATTGTAAGATATTCTATAATTGAATGTATTTTTTTGTGCTAAATTTGCTAATACTGCAGTTAGTTTAGAGAGAAGACCAATCATGGATGATTGACAGTACTTAGTACTAGAGACAAAATATTACTATTTCTTTTATTGCACTAGAATCAACTGGTTACACCCCAAGAATGAGAGAAGTGCAAACAACTGCTAGAAAATTGTAATTTTCTTTTCATTCTTCCAGAATGCGTGATGGTGACGGGGTGCAACCAGACAAGGTCCCGCAGGATGTGGAGAACGTTTTCCTGATTTTGAACGGGAGAGCTCCGGACAAAGTGCAATACACGCGATACTGGCTCGACCACCTCGGTTCATACCCACATCTCAAGCGGGTTGTTCTGATGCTGATTGGTAATGAACAGTGTCAGAACGATTGGGTGCTTCCATACATGAGGAGCAGGGGTGGACCTGTTGATATGCTCTTCGTCGTGTACGATACCCTCATTGTGAACGGTGATGACATCATGCAGTGGCCTCTGGGTGTAGCAACGTGAGTTATTTGTGAAATGTAACATAGTTTGCTTTTGTGATGTGCCATGTGGCAAGCTAAACATATTGCACAGATTTTATAATTTTATATGTACCGGTAATGTTTCAATCCCATATGAGGTAGTATTTTAACGGTTCACTAAGATGATCTGAAGGGTTCAGTCAATTATTTTGAGTTGACAGTTGCTTTTGTATATTTAAAAAGACTTGATTTGCAGAAGGAAAATCATTTTTTTTCATGATTTTCAGGACCCAGCGATGCAAATTTAATAGTGTGGATTCATCAAAACTTTAGGGGATAGTCATCTTGGTGTACTTCCAATTGGAAAGTTTGCTGCACTTAAATAGGAACATGGAATAGGGATTATGCCTGCATCATTTCCAATTTGTGTCAATAGTTTTCAGAAAGTATGCTATAACTCCTGTAAGATTACATCATTGCTTATTTTCATTTTTCACTCTTCCTCCCTTTTCCAACTTTAGGTACAGAGGTTTCCCATTGATAGAGATCAATCAGCTTAATCTGCGTTCTCCTAGACAGTATCGATGTAATTTCCTTGGAACGATGTACCCCAACTCATCCAGAGAAGTACTTTTGAAAGTCATTAATGATAACAACCTTCAAAAGTACTGCTACCTCAAAACAAGACAACGGTAAGTTTCTTTCACCAGCAATTTTATTTTACTTTATTTTGATATTTGTTAAACACAGGTATTTGCATTCTTGTAGCATGGTACTTATGATCAATCTATATTTCAAAAAGGAAAGACACTCAATCATCTTTAAATTAATAGACATAAGTGATAATGCTTATTATTAACATGGAATTTTTTTAATTAGTGTTAGTTGGACCTACTTTGAAGAAGCCATGTCTGAAGGTCACTGGGAAAGGGAGACAATGGACTACCTGCTTTATAGCATCATAGCCTGTTTCAGTGGATTTGATTATTGTGTTTATCAATATTTTTGATGATTAGAGAATGAAACTGAATTACCTTAGTACCAAAAGAGAAAATATATCCCTGATTATTATACTATTCCTCTGACTCTGTACTTGTTTACATGGTTCAAGAGTGGCAATATTATTGTAGATGAATGTCTTACTAAAGGACTGCACTGCAATGGTTCGATTGATCCATAGTCTGCTGACATGCCCTATACCAATTTACCTAAAAGTTTGGAGGCGCGATAGCTCAGTCGGTAGAGCAGTGGTCTCGTAATCCGGTGACCCGGGTTCGAAACCAAGGCGATACGCTAGTGCCCTTAGGTAAGGCATTATTCCTGATTACCAGGTCCCTCAGAGAGGACCTAAAGCCATCAGCCGTCTGGTTGCTTACTGACAAGCATTTATGCTTTCTTAGCAATCAGGTAAAACTAACCACCACCATTCAAAGTCATTTTTCAAAGAATTCTTTTTTCTGTGCTTTTAGATGGGAGCCTGATGAATCAAAAGCCAGTCTCCAGACGTACATCAATGTAGTCCTTCAAAGTGACCTCACCCTGAGTCCCGTAGGTATGAACGCAGAGTGCTACCGTATCTACGAGGCGTGCGCTCTAGGCTCCGTGCCCGTCGTAGAAGACGTAACCACCAAGGGGGACTGCAGCCCGAGTCCGTTAAGACTCCTCAAGAAACTCGAAGCACCTTTCATCTTCATCAAGGACTGGAGCGAGCTGCCAGGGATCCTGGATGCGGAGATGAAGATGTCAATAGAAGAGATTGTGGATAGGAGACGAAGACTTGTGGCTTGGTATGAAACTTTTAAATACAAGATGAAAGATATTCTAATGAGGAAAATAGGAGAGGTCTTTGAAGAAGATGTGCGCAGGTGATGTAATCTATCAGCTTTACAAGAGTTAAGTCTGAAACAGCCCGGGTCCGTTCAGACTCCTCAAGAAACTTGGAGCACCTTTCATCTTCATCAAGGACTGGAGCGAGCTGCCAGGGATCCTGGATGCGGAGATGAAGATGTCAATAGAAGAGATTGTGGATAGAAGACGAAGACTTGTGGCTTGGTATGAAACCTTTAAATACAAGATGAAAGATATTCTCATGAGGAAAATAGGAGAGGTCCTTGAAGAAGATGTGCACAGGTGATTCAATCTATCATCTTCACAAGAGTGGTGATTATTTTTTGACATTTAGAAGGACATTAAGTCTTGAAATTTCACGTGAAGTTAATGCCATTCTAATTCTCTAGAAAAAATGGCCCAAATTCATGAAAGTGGTTCATCTTAATATTAACCCATAGTTTAAACCTCCATTGTCATCAGGCCCAATGAACGAGCATTTTTTACGGTTTTGTGAAGCACTTAGTGGACAAATTGAGTGACAGTGTGAAGATTGTTGAACTTGTAGTTATAATGGTTTCGAGAAATGACCCCCTGAAGGAGGTTCAGACCTTGGAATAAAATACCTCTTTGGTGAATTTGACCTAATGTGTCTTTGGCAGAAGAGTACAAGTGATATCTTGTTATTATTAAGAGAACCAAATCATAATTGTCTTTCGCGACAGTACTTATTTAATTGGGACTAGTGCATATTTACAGACTTTAATTTTGCCTTGGTAATACACAGTGCTGATAAAGTCACAGAGCGCAAGAATTTTGTTTGTCTTCATGTTCGGATCTCATCAGTACCTGTGTTTGTTGTACACTTTCTTAACTATTGGAATACCTGATCCATATTTCATATTACAGCTTGTTTTTTTGACATTGAGGGTCTGCTAAATGGCTTTATTCTCAAGATCAAAATCAATGTTCCCAATTACCTTTGCATATTTTGAAAGCAGGAATTATTCCTTAATGATTATTTATTACAATATCTAGTTTGATACAAAAGTACTACAATTGACTAGACTTAGGGATAATTTTACTTGTGCTACTTTGAGTTATGCAGAGTATGTATGAATCTTGTGCAAATTGAAAGGGTAAATTACAAGTTGTCATTTTTTGAGGTATTGATTAATGTAACTGTTTTCTTATTGATGTACAGGAATAAATCTGGAATCCTAGAAAAGTACTGTATATGAATCTTGCCTTTAAATTTTGATCTGTGCTTTATGCAGTAGTATTCATGATCATACTTGTTGTTAATGTCCATGTATAAGGAGCCTGGGCATCGTTTCATGAAACCGTCTTTAAGTACAAGTTCATTGACATCTCATTGAAATGCGTGTTAAACATAATACATGTATTTCAATGGGATGTCTGTGCACTTGTTCTTATGAAACACTGCCCAGCTCTATATGTTAAAGATAAACTTGAGTTCTGGTAATGCAATTGCATTGTGAAAGAAAAGGTGTGGAATGGACCAGAAAAGTTGATCATATAGCATGTAAGTAATGGTGTGTAATGCAAGGTTCTTGAGTCATCAAAATCATCATAAATTTGGCAGAGTCTTGGTAAAGTAACAATCACTTACACAGAAAGATGTACATGGGACAACACACATTCAGTGTAAGTTTTGTTGGATTCTGTGAGAATTCATTTTCTTTTTTTTACCAGAACTCAAGTTTATCTTTAAAGATAAACTTTAGTACTGGTAATGCGATTGCATTGTGAAAGAAAAGGTGTGGAAAGGATCAGAAACAGTTGATCATGTAGCATGTAAGTATTGGTGTGCACTGCAAGGTTCTGGAGTCATCAAAATCATAATAAATTTTACCGAGTCTTGGTAAAGTAACAAGCACTCACATAGAAAGCTATATATGGGACAACACACATGGTGTCGGGGCTAGTACTACCTGATTTCCTTGTCTTTCTATGCTCATTACTTAGCCAGTATACATTTTCTTCCAAAATTGTTTGGCACATGTCATTTATTTGTAATCTTGAACATTCAGTGTAAGTTTCGTTTGATTCTGTGAGAATTATTATTTTTTTTTTACCAGTACTGGAGTTTATCTTTAATATGTTCATGTCTTAATTTTTATATCATTCTTATTTGATGCTACTATACAAAAACTTGAAATGAGTTCTATAAAAAGAACAAACATATAATGCCACATGTCCTATTTACAAGTTATTTATCATATTTATTATATGAGATGTTAGGTTACTATTTTACAAGTATTCAATATGTACTGATATGAAAGTATTTACATAAGAACAATTGATAATTGATATACAATCACATAAAAATGTAATTATTTAAATAAGAATGTAAAAAATAGTCTTCTTTTCTACAACATTGCAATGTTAAATAAATGTGAGCTAAAATTCTCACAAAATTCTCATGAATATCTGGACTGATTTGATGTCTTTTCCTGCTGTGTTTAGCGTGGATATACCCCAATGTTACTGCCCCTATCTAATTTCTTTAAAGCCCAAATTGTTATTGGTAAACAAACAAAAAAACATTTCAGAGCTAGGCATATTTACTCTAATATAAAAAAAAAAAGATGCATTGTTTGTAACAATGACTGCATAAATCTTTTTTTTTTTTTTTTTTCAGTAGGAAAATATTTCATATTACATTCTCTGGAGGTATGAAAGTAAAATGAAATCCCCTATGAACAAAGTTGATCCCTAATAATGATATAAACTCCTTAAATGCTACACAGTGCTTATTTATAATTCAAAGCTCATGAAACTTGTATTGTCCTTGATAAATTAGGAAGTACTTATACATGTATATATGCACACCACAAACAAAAGAAGTCTGGTTTGTGAATTAAAAAAAAAGGCTAAAATTCAAATTTTTCATGAATTAATCAAGGTGTCATATCATGTAACAAAATAATGATGCCAATAAATAAAACTTTAAAAAGGCATAACAGAGTTTGAACAATCAACATATAGTCTGTAATCTAAAGAGACTAATGAAAAGCTTACTGTTTTTAGATACAGTTCCCTAATATAAATCATTTAAATTCCATCAGCTTATCAACATGTAATAAATAATGACATGTTAAATCAATGCCTAAATTCATTCACTACCATGTCCATATTCTGTAAATGTGGAAATTGGAAAGGTAATGATCCAATTCTACATTTTCATTAATAAATAATAAAAATAATATTCTGCTGTTATATCTAAGCGCTTTACAGATATCCTATTACCCCGCTCACTGGATTCAGTGCTTGCCCGCACACACTGTGTGCACAATCTCCACTCCCTGGGGAGCATTCCAGCCAGGCATTGGGCAATTGTTTCTTGTAATATTTTATTGCTGTTCACAGACATGTAGAAGAAAAGGTTATGCATGTCAATTTCACGTTTACAGAAGTTAAGTTCACATATTGCTTTGAAGTGAAGTGGCCTTTCTAAGTATAAAATCAACATGCTTTTCTGTGCTGGCTATATACAAAAATACAATTTCACCATAGACTAATACAAATCATCCAAGCTGCCTATAAAATAAAGCATCTTCCACTGTAAAATCAATATGATTCGTACTTTGTTGACAAATCAAGAAGTAACTTTAAAAAGAAGGAATGATAACAAACGTGAAAAGTACTATTGACTACTATTTGTAATGTGAAAATGACCATCTTTCTACTAAAGATTTCTTTTCTAAATGCTTTACTTTTTGGGCATGAATTTCTACATGTCTAATGTGTGCAGTGCACATATGCTAATATTTTTCTCCTTAAAAAAATATTTGAAGAATTCCATTTCAGAAAAACTGTTCATAAGCACCAGTTATAATCATTATGATAAAATTGGACATCATATCTAGACAGTTTGTATTTGATTTAAAGCGTTTTGTGTAGATGTGGTCTTTTGATATAGATTGCCAAGTTACCCCTACACTACTTTGACTCATTAAAACCCCTACCCCTATATATCTCTGATTTACAAAAAAGAAGAAGTCTTGTACAAATGTTGTGGGAGCATAATTATGTTGAATGACTCTGAAACTTCCTCTACCACTGTTATACTTCCATGCAGTATCACCTCATATATGCTGGTTGGGTCCAACGAATACTAAGGATTCCTGAATCCTGTACAAATATACTAATTGTTAATATCAAACCTACTTCATGAAATAGTTTAAGGAGCACATAATGCAAATACATTCATAGTAGTATTTGGCTATAAATAAAGCGATTTCACACTCGATCAACATAGGCTGAAAGTATAATGGTGGAAAAGAGGTCTTTTTTCAATTTCAAAAGGCATATAATGCAGCTGCTGTTTCATCCATAAAATGCCTTGGATTGATCACCGGATGCAGTCAATGTCGTCCTTGTCTTCATGGAAAGATTCTTGGCTGTTATCATCACCTGGACATTCCGACAAGCTGTCCCATCGTAATACATCACATCCTATGGAGAAAAACAAAACAGATGAGAAGAAAAAGTGTTAATAAATTAAAGTTCTTCAAACTAAAAAGTCTCAATTATCTTGTACATAGTTTTTAGACAAAATCAAGAATATAAATGCTTTGTTAACAGGCTGTTATAGAGTGAAAACTTTTCCACCACTGAATTTTCTCTTTCTATGATATTCCATTAAAAATACATAGAAAGGTACATATCAAGGGGTCAGTGATACAAAGACGTAACTCCATTTTGGCCATTTTGAGAAAAAATGGTTTATGTGTCACTGAGAACTTGGGCCTTAGAGGTAAAGACCTGTATAGGAAACACCCCTCTCAAAAATGAAATGAAAGCTCTTATTACCAATGATGTGAAAGAATATGTTTTGACTAATACGTGATGACACAAATTTTGACAAGAAACCGCCTACTAATTGATATATTTGGTACATTATTATATCTATTTGGATCTGATAGATGTGTAGTCCCATATACATCTCTCTGTGTACAGTGATTGTAACTTTACCAAGACTGGCAAATTTCTCATCATTTTGATGATTACAGAACCTTGCAGTACACACCAATACATATGCTAGATGATCAACCTTTTCTGATCCATTCCGGCCACTACGTTTCTTTCACAATGCAATCGCATGACCAGAACTGGTCTTTATCTTTAAGGAGTTAAGTCTATGTTTCACTAGCCATTCACTTCCTATTGTAAATATTGTTGTAAATACCATGCAAGATAAGATAAGATAAAAGATACAATAATTTTCAGAATACTGGTACCAATTGTCTTGTCATAATATCTCTTGTGCACATTTGCAAATGAGGATTAAGTGCCATTTTATTAATAATTCACATAATTACAAGCCCACAAAAGTTTGAGCGCAGGCGCGGCCAAAGAGATGAGAGAAAAGATACAACAATTTTCAGAATACCAACTTTATCTTATCTTCAAAGATACAACAAAATTAGAGATAACACAGGGTTCAGAATACTGCCCCAGTTCAAGAAAATGTGTACCATGCTATCATAAAACAAGATTGTATGGTTCCATAAAATGCAAAATTCTGTTTAAGGGAGAGAAATTTGTGAATTTCCTTGCACTGTTGTGCATAACCATTGAAGAACACGAAACAACCACCAATTATTTCTCTTCTCAATAAACTTGCTCTTACCTGATTTATCTAGCTGTCCCTCAGCCCATACCACAGTACTGTTGAATATCCATAGATGACCATTGTTACATGACTGAAGGCAGGGTACACATGGGATCATAATGGTGTAGCCGACATTGTTCCCACTGAAGGGTAGAGGAAAGAAACAAAAGAATTACTTTTAAAGCTGGTACTAAACCAAGACTATGCATCCTGTTCTTTATGGCACTGCACTGAGTAATGGCTTACATATAAAGTCAAGAGTTATGAGGTACCAGTATCATGAATTGAAAAGTTGACAATACATGTAAAGTCAAACGTGCTTCAGTGACCCCCTGTCTACAACAAGCACATTTTTTTGTTTCCCTTGAAAATGGTATCTAATTGAAACATGTACTAAAGGAACCTGTCTACAAAGACCACTTTCTGTGTTTCTCTTGGGCGGTCGCTGTAGACAGGTTTGACTGTATCTAGTACAGTGTGAATAAATATACACTGGACTCTCGTTTTAAAGAACAAAGTTTAAGACGAACTTACTACCGTTTTCTTTGTCTTCTTTTGTTTGGTTAATTAGCACCCTTAATTGTAACAAGTCTTTTGAGAACAGATGAAAATAAATGAGCCAGTGTAGGTAGCTAAAAAAAACACAACAAATAAACAACCAACCAACCAACCAAACTAATGACAATGTCCCCCTCACCCTCCCCAATTTAAAAAAAAATACAAGACCAAAATCCAAGATCAGAGCAATTTGTTTCTGATCACTTACCAATGATTACATGCTGTGTCGGATATTCTGCATTCACATTTCCCTGTTGAGTACGGCTTGTCCACGTTACTGATTTTCCTACATTAAAAAAAATGGCATAATAATAGATTTTAAAAAAATCATTCAAAGTATGAATGTGTTGTAACTTGCAAAATAGAAAGTGTCTCCATACTTAGACCGAAAGCTTCAGTCTCTATACCGTCGGTTGTTCCACTGAGACTACGTCTGGCTCCACTAGACCTCCGGTTATAGAGACTGAACGATCGCCTATGCCAGCCTATGTTGAAGATATCACGGCTAGATTTTAGCCGTTAGGCCCCTCCCACAAACATGAACAAACTTGCCACGGCCGTATTGTTATGCCCCCCAAATCCCCCAAAATGTCATTTTACCTCGTGCATATCCAATTTTACATTAGGCCTAGGCTATAATACATCGGTTCCACTTACAAACTTGATTGAAATAATCCGTTTAATGGTCCCTTTTAAGGAAATTATGGGTCAAAATTGACATCCATGTTGAAAATCTTGCAAGCCGTGTTAAACTCTCGCTGCCGTCAATCTCATCCCTTCTAGTCTACGCCGAAGGCAAAATGATTATGAAGGAAAAACTGTGCGCCGTCTACACGTTCGTAATGGCGTTATCACAGTTTTTCCTTCATAATCATTTTTGCCTTCGGCGTAGACTAGAAGGGATGAGATTGACGGCAGCGAGAGTTTAACACGGCTTGCAAGATTTTCAACATGGATGTCGATTTTGACCCATAATTTCCTTAAAAGGGACCATTAAACGGATTATTTCAATCAAGTTAGTAAGTGGAACCGATGTATTATAGCCTAGGCCTAATGTAAAATTGGATATGCACGAGGTAAAATGACATTTTGGGGGATTCTGGGGGCATAACAATACGGACGTGGCAAGTTTGTTCATGTTTGTGGGAGGGGCCTAACGGCTAAAATCTAGCCGTGATATCTTCAACATAGGCTGGCATAGGCGATCGTTCTGTCTCTATAACCGGAGGTCTAGTGGAGCCAGACGTAGTCTCAGTGGAACAACCGACGGTATAGAGACTGAAGCTTTCGGTCTACTCCATACTGTACATGCACTGTACTTTATGACAGCCAATCCATACAAATGCACGGTAAGTTTGGCATTTCATACAATACCAACTCACGCATTGTATTTGTAAATTCCTAATATATTCTAAGTACTTGGTTTTAAGAAAAAGGATGGGGATTCCATCATGTTTGATATGACATGTACAGTATGTTAAAAGATATCAATTGCCAGATTACAACAAAAATTAACGTTTTTTTATTGGTATCTTGTCAAAAACAATTTTGATAGATTTTTCATCTTAAAATATAGGTGAGGATGACAGGACACTCAGTCTCAGAGTAAAGTGTAATACACTTCAAAATTTGTGTGTATCATATATAATTATAAAATAAAGCTCCAGGGTGCATGGTATTCTGAAAATTGTTGTAAGTTTTGTTTTATCTTTTGTTGCATCTTCCAAAGATAATACAGCGCTAATATTGTTGTAAGTTGGTATTCTGAAAATCATTTTATCCCTGCATCATCTCTTGAAGTACCGCCTCTATCTGATCTTTGGCACGCCCATTTTTATGGACCCTACCAATCAAGATCTATTTCATAAAGGCATGATAAGTAGGTCCACCAATAGGAATACTTTATGCCATATCTAAAGATGCGCCCAGCGCATACTTATCTTTGACGTAATTAGTTAATGATCTTATCTTCAAAGATACAGCAATATTAGAGATAGCACACGGTTCAGAATACTGCCCCAGATCTCAGTGAATATCAGGAATAAAACAATATAATAAGCCAGTTCACGGTTGCAGTCTGAGCAAGAGCAGATACAGGTCAATCCCGAACAAATTTTGAATTACATGGAGATGAGATACTGGATACATGCTCATGAAAGTAATGTAATCATTATTTATTCATGCACATTCAGTGCACTCCATGATACACAGGTGGAAGTATTCTTTGAAAAGGGGAAACAAAGGCTTTTTATATAGATCTATTCTAGCACCTCCTTTGCTGTAGAGTGATTATTTCAAAATGTACAAAGTGGGACCTCTTCATGTTTTGAAGATCTGTGGATATTCGGGGTCGGGTCATTGCAGTAATGTGCTAACCGTGATCGTGAACTGGTCTATTGGCATTGTTTGTTGTTGTGAGAAGTTGCTGTTTATTTTGTGATGGTTTACACACGTACCATGTCATATCTGAACGAGCCCTAACAGGCAATTTTAATCAGGAGGAGAAGAGTTGCTAACAAGTGTGCAGTAAGTGGGACTAACAGCAGAAAATATTTAACTTAAACTTGTCTTGGTATCACAACTGAAGTGAAAAAACAAACAGAGTCTTTGAAAGTTTGAATCTGTTTGAGCTTGAGTTTGGTGAAATGTTAAAATTGAAATTGATACAGGTTTACTCAATTCTTTACTTATGTTCTAGACTAGACTCTAGTCTCGTCTTTCTGAAGTGAAAATATAAGTTATAATGACAGAGCAAGATTCATGCCTGCATTTATCTTCTAAAATATAGAAATGACCTGGATACAAAACACAATCTGAAAACGTTTTTTCCTTACCCAGCGCAAGGAGCATCTGTTGAATACAGTTCCATGTTTGTGTCGGCAAGAAGAACAGCTTTCATTCCACGTTTGCAGATGCACGAGTCGCAGAATCGACAAACCAGTTGGACGACAGGTTTCTTCTTAAAACTAGAATGCATTTTGTAGTGATTCTTCTGTGTAAAATTTCGTTAGTATAACGGCTAGAATTGCACAAGGTTACACCTTTTTATGCAGTGTCTTTCCAGACTTCAACGGGACGGCTCCGGGTAGAAGCGTAGTTAGTGCACGCAGCGCGCGCAGACGATCGCGATTCGAATGTCCGTTGCACAGCTGGCCACGCACGCTGTCAGGTGATTTAAATGCCCAAAAGAAAAACAAATCTGCGAACGTGCGTACGTACGTGCGCGTTATGTGACACGTACCAGTCATGTACACGTAATATATCGCACGAGCATGCAGCGTGCGCGCCGTACAAGTTTATCTTCGAGACAAATTTTGTGGAGGATTGTGGGCGGGGACGCACCATGACACACCCTTTTACAACTGCATATGTGACTTTTACTCGAAAATTTCCCTGCCTAAACTGAATGTTTGTACTTAAATACCAAAAGCTATATCTGTTTTTGTTTTGTTGTTGTTGTTGTGTGTGTGTTTCTTTTCTCTTTTTTGTTGGGGGAGGGGGGGGGGGGGGAGGGTCACTGCAAAATAACTTGGCACCAATTGTTGTTTTTCCAGATGTTTTGTTTTGATCTGTTTTTACATACAGCATCTGCTCTGATGAAAACATTTCGGTAGACGGATCCAAATCTATGGGTAGTGTAATATTATAGCGACGATCCAGATGCTTAGTCAGGGGGAGGCAGGGGCGGGTGAGGCGACTTCCAGATGGGGGGGGGGGGGCACCAACAAAAAGGGTACTTTCTGGAGAAAAAAGGGCACCTACAAAGGGCAACCTCAAAGCGAAAATATACACATTTTTAATAGACATTGGTATATAGCCCTAGATTGTAATTACATTATCAGGGATGATTTCAATATTTTGTTTCTCTTATACATCATTTTGCTTAAGCTAGTCATACTTTGCAGTTGAATGTTATGTCGTTCGAGGAATCGAGGAAATGTTTAAAGATTTGTGAGGTGTCAGTGCGAAAACTTACATCTTATGAAGAAGAAAAAACCCAATCCTCAGTGGGTTATAAACACATATTCATAACGGAAGACTAAACAGACCTTTGATAAGTAAAATAATTATATCATCTATACATGCGAGCTAGCGCAGCGAGCCAGCTTTGAGGGAAATGGCTCTTAGTCTCTCTGTAAATCAGGGGCACATTAAAATGATGAGAGAAAATGGGGACACTTATAAATCGAAAGGGATAAGACAATTATCGAAAGGGATAAGACACTTATCGAAAGGGATAAGACACTTATCAGAAAAGAAAAAGAGCACGTGTTAAGTACAAAGGGTAACTATCAGAGGTGAAAATGGGGCTATCCTTACACCTGAAAAGAGGCACTCACCAGAAATGAAAAAAAGGCACTTATGAGAATAGTAAATGGGAATTCGTCGACGGAAAAGGGGCACCCATCAGATTTTGCTAGGGACATTTATAAGAGGTGAAAAGGGGGCATTAATAAAAAGGGGATAGGGCCCTTATTAAATAGGAAATGGGACACTTATCCTTGATAAAAGGGAAATTAACAGAGGTGAAAAGGAGCATTTATCGCACCTGAAATGGGGCACTGACCTGATATGAAAAGGGGCACTTATGAGAATGAAAAAGAGGCACTTACAATACTAAAGGGAAGATAGCATTTATTAAAAAGGAAAAGGGCGCTTGTCAAAATAAAAGGTGTGTGCATCTGAGTTAAAAAGGATAGTTATTGAAAGAGGAAGGGTCACTTCTTACAAAGGAAAATGGGCACTTGTCAAAGTAAAAGGGGGCACCTCTCAGATTTTCCATAGGGGCAATTATCAACATGCAGTCCCTCAACTATGGAACAAACTTCCTAGTAATATCAAAGAATGTTTTTCTCTTGATCTATTTAAGCCTCTGTTAATTTCGTACCATTCGTTATACAATACAATGCATACATATAGTTTCCAGTTTGGATATTCATCATTCCATTATGTTCTTATTATTTTATTTCTTTTGTACTCACTTCTTAATTTTCTTTTATATCCATAGCGCTTAGAGACTTAATTGTAATTTGCGCTATATCAAAACTGAGTACTCTCTAAAAAAAAATCGAGTGATCACGGACGTCACTCCTCTGGAGAGTGAAAATGTAGTGAAAATAGAGTGAACATTCACTCTTTTCTTCTTAGAGAGCACTCTAAAATCAATCGATTTTCACTCCTAAACAAGTGATCACGGACGTCACTCCCAAGAAAGTGAAAATAGAGTGAAAATTCACTCTTTTTTTTTAAAAAGAGTATTATTATTATTATTATTTTCGGAGGTGTAGGGGGCACTTATCTGAAGGAGTAAATTCTCGTACCTGATTAGGGTCATTTACCAAAGATGAAAAGGGGCCCTTATGAAAATTAAAAGGGACACTTTTCATTGGTGAAAAGGGGGCACTTATGAGAAGGAGAAAAAGCTCTCTTTTTAAATGGGGGTAATTATCATAATGAAAAGGGGCACATGTAACAAATAAAAGGTCTGTTTATCTGAGTTAAAAGGGGGAAGTTATTAAAAGGCAAAGGGTCACTTCTTACAAAGGAAAATGGGCACTTGTCAAAGTAAAATAGGTACCTCTCAGATTTGAATAGGGTAATTGTGAGAGGTGAAGGAGGCACTTATCAAAATGGAAATGGACACTTATTGCAACAGAAAATGGGAACTTGGCGAAGGAAGAGAGACACGTGTCAAAATAAAAAGGACGTTTATCAGAGGCGAAAAGGGGACGGGGCAATTTTAAAAAATAATAGGGGCACTTGTCAAAGTAAAATGGGCTCTTTTCCTATGTTAAAAGGGGCACTTCTTCAGTTAAAATGGGTACTTTTCTTATGTAAGAAAGGGAGTTTTGGGGTACTTGAAAAAGTGGGGGCACTTTCATTTGGTGTGTGTGTGTGTTCACATGCCCAGTCGAGGCCTCGAGAAAGTGGTTAATTGTTTAAAGTGTAATAATTATTATAGCGCATGAAGTTCAATTAAAATTGTTTAAACTACAATGTATATTCAGTATCTAACGAATAATTGCTCAAAGTAAAACAATTAAATGTCTTGATTTGCGTCCCAATTCCAAATTAAAATGTGATATTCATATTAACGAAAAGTGTAGGGATATAAACAAAGTAGTAGGGTTCTTAGCTTGCTTTCGGCATTGTATAACTCTATTTTGTTTGTATTTTTTGTCATACTGTGATTTGGAAATAAATACTATATTTACAAAGTAAACACTCCCTCGAAAACTCTGTTCATATAATAATGAGGTAATAATAATTGTGCATCAATACCTAGAAGTTGCTTTTCTATTCTAACTATACTTATATCGTTGTTTGCAAAATGCCCATTCTATTGTGATCATACCATTGAATTTGGAACCGAAATGCTGTCAAGTATTTCAAAAGCTTTTCAAGTCTGGTTTGGTGTCAATAAAAATGATAAAGATTGTGAAAGACCAACAGTAATTAAAGCATATCTGTGCACTCTCTTGAAATCGAGTTACAAAAATTGTACATTATGATTAGCCATATGAAGTATTCAACCGCAATGACAATTCAGAATTTGTATCAATATGTATATATCTTCTGTTTAACAAGAAAAAACAGAGAATTTTCGAGGGGTAATAGAGATGCGAAAATAGGTGCATTATCACACCCGTCTTTGATTTAGAGGTACGCCATCACTCACTCAATCTATTATTGCTCGGCTTGTATTCCGCAATCGCTGCGCTATCGCTGCATGCATAATGTGCACAAGTAGGCCACTCGTTTATCTACACACTTGCAAATGTGCGCTGTGTGTTGGTATTGACCCCGGAAGTAAGTTAAAAACTTTGCGAGAATCTATCACTGCAAGATGGCGACAATGCCGTTGTGCTCGTGATACCAGTCGAAGTTGGAGTAACTTTCATCAATTTATTCTGGTTGTTGTTCATGAAACAAAGCTTTTTCATTCCAGAAATTTATTGGAATATTATTTGTCAACATGGCATCGGACAAGAAGCAGGAGCGGCAGATACAGCAGGAGCTGGAAACGAGGATAAAAGGTGAAACATAATAATGCGACATTAACTTGAGAGCTACCGAAGTCACGACATAACGGTCTGTCTATTGACTGTTTGGCTCAAGAGCGCGAGCGCTGCGGTGGAGGGTTTCTCTCTTCGGCCGAGCCCGAGCCAAGCGTTCAGCGGCCGGTCGGCTGGTCAGAGAGCTGAAGCCACTGACCAAGCCAAGCAAGCGCAATACACAATGATGTCCATGCATGAATTATTATAGTGTCTTGTAAGATGAGCTTGGAAAAATATGTGTTATGCATGGACACTGTGATGTGAATTGTGAGAGAGTTGTCCACAGGTGCTGTGTGTTGTCTGTTTGTTGATGTTTCATTATTTTTATAATTTTAGCCACTCGTATCTCAATCAATGTTCACGCAATTTCCCAAATTCATTTTGGCAGCTGTGCTGGCGCTGGTTATACGTTGTACGTGCACAATCTCTAATTTTCGGCCACTGTTGATTGTATCCCTAAGATAACGGTCAAAACCTATCAACATGTCCCGGTTCTCACTAATTCCAGGGAGCTCCGATGCCGAAGACGTCGGAGCTCCAGAGTCTGTTTTACAAAACGATTCAAACAGCGGGTTGGGTCACATTTTTTCGCAATGTAAAGAGGTAGTAATTACAATTTTTGACTCACAATGTTTTTCAACTCATGTGGGCATCTTTCCAATCACTTGAAATTATACTTTGAAGAAGTCTTCGATGGGGAAAACTGATTCTTCGTCCTAACCCAATGATTCATCCATGTTGTACCGTTGATTCAACATGGTGAAGAGAGTAAGAGACAGTACGCATGCGCGGCAGCAGCGCAGCATATATAAATATTGATATTGTGCCGTTCACTTGAAACTGCTGAATATGCATAAATCAAAGAAATAGAGCCCTTCTCAATGCATATTCAGCAACATCATGTATCAATTTTTATTTTAACGTACACAATCCTGTACATGTATTACTTTGAGTCTCTACAGAGTACAGCTACAGAGTTTAAGTTGTGTGACTGTTTCTATTTATGTACATTGTAGATTTCTCATCATACCCCTGTGCTGAAAGGTTTTTGTCACTGAACGGTATATGTATATTATGCAAAACATGAATGTTTGAGTGGAAGAATAGATACTCCAGATGGTCTGATGAATCTTTCTGTAAAATATACCAAAAGGAGAAGGATAAAGATTTTCCATCAAAATCAGCCAAATTGAAGGAAAAAAAAAAGTACTAATTTCCCAGCCCTGTACAGTCAAATCCTGTGGATAAGAATTTCTACATTCCTATTAAAGAAAACAAAATGTCTTTAAACTAAAGATGTGGAGGTTCATACACATGTATCTTACTATCCTTCACATTCATAACCCAACTAGTGTAGAAGACCAATCTTCATGGCCAGAAAGATTACCAATAACCCAAACTGCTAATAGGCTGTAAGTTCTGTAGTGGGAATGACTTGTGAGTGAATCATATAGTTACTCCATGTTTGAAGTCTGAGCAATTTTTGCTCTTGTCCTAAAATAGTCACGGTACAAGTCATGTTGCACTACAGGTGAAAGTCCAGTTAGCGAGCGTCATGCATGATACCATGCACACATTGTATAGGGTGTGCCAAGGTGTGGAGAGTCTAGTACAGGATACATACCAAAGTGTACATGTACATGGTGCTTCACAGAAACCAAAACCTTTACAGCTCCAAGCTTCATAGTCTTATTAGACACATTATTAATTCAAAATTGCTTTTGATGATTAACCATGGACCTTTGTAATAGGTCCATGGTTAATCATCAAAAGCAATTAAAAGATTAACTTACTATGTTCACATTGATGTATACATGTACATCTAATTGTAGGTTTATTCACAATTTTTTTGTTTCGTTTATTATGTAATTATTTTTCATTGTATTCTGTTTGTCAGAGCTTAGAGTCTTCAATGGTAAGCGCTTTATAAGCACCATTTTTATTTTTTATTATTATTATGTTCATATACGTAATGTTATCAAAGAAATTGATACCCGCTCCAAGACTAAATTGCAGGTACAAACCCTTGTGCATAAAGGTGTCTGCAATATGAGACTACAGTAGGCTCTGTACTTTAGCAGCTATTGTTTGACACAGCCAAAAACTTAAATATTTAGACTCTGCTCAAGGGTTTAGGTGCAGACTACTCCAAGCCTCAAACACAAGTTTATTGTATACATGTATGTATGTATGTAACTATAGATGCTATAACAAGAATTATTGGTTTGCATTAATCATTCTTTATGCGCTGCATGCTCTGTGTTATTCTTCTGACATGTGGCTGCACAAAACACTTACACCTCCATTTTCAGCATAAAAGAGTGCATATAACATAAATTAATGATATTTTCTTTAGAATTAGGATCAGTAGTTAATGTACATACCGGTACATGTAGAAGACAAAGACCATGGGCAGGCAATGTCATATGTTCAGCATTTCTGTCAATTGAAGATTTTTTTTACATGTGAATGTACAACATATTTTGTTAGCAAAGAGAAAGAGAAAAGAAAAGTGGTATACATGTATTTGCATTGTACAATGTAGATTATTGAATTATTGTTTTTTTTCCTTTCTTGTTTTGAAATGATTCTCAAATCAATGTGAATATTTTTAAGCTTTAAGAAAAAAAATAATGAGAAATTATTTGATTTGAACGGCAGCATAATATGAAGATGAGATGAAGCAATAATTCCAACATAATGTTCATTACGGTATACCATTCTATTTCCTAATTACTGATTCCCAAATAGTGCATACCATGTACCGGTATGCAACTTTTTGTAAATTGTATATAAATTGTCATTTTAGTTAATTTCATCATACAAATGGCATTTCTCTGCATTCAAGCTGACAAGCTGTTAATGCACTGGATATTTTTATAGCTGCTCATCTTTTGTCCTTTAGTATGGTTGAATGATACCGGTCAGGGTGTTTGGTTGCCTTGTAAAGATGTCAGGATTGCAGCAAACACAATACACCCCCCCTCCAAAAGAAGAAAAAGAAAGAAAAAATATAAAATGGACATGAGACAGATATAATTCTGATTGAAATGTGGGAAAATACAGAAATGCTCTCCAGAGATTTCTGGACTTTGCATGGGATACAAACAATGGACTCATGTTGAGGTGTAGTGATTGGTGAGCTTAACTCTTCTCCAGATTCGATTGGGGGGACGATCAAATCGTCATTCGTTCGTCATCCCTTTGTTTGGACGTGAATTAACAGTAGATGAGAATTCTGTATCCAATGCAAACCTCACTGCTATTTGCGGTGTAATCTTGTACAGTCTTCTGTAAATTGTGTCTAGTCATGTTGACTCCACGTGGAGGGGTTCCCCAGCACAGTTCCCTGGTTTCTCCATCACCTCCCCGCCCGCCCCATTCCCTGAATCTCATCCCCCAGACCTTATCCTCAAGACCTCATCCTAACCATGAGGAAAAGCAATATAACGAGGTGGGTAATTTGATATGGCGTGCGTAATGAAGGGAGAATCGAACCTCCATTCCGAGTCGGCCCTGTAATTGAAGTTGAAGCACATGCCTGATGGTAAGGGATGCCGTCCCGTAGATTGTCTCATTGTGGCCCATGCGGGAGAATAGCGATGAGAAATTAGATGACTGATGGGCGTCCTACCTAATGTAACAATGCTGGGGGGTATTGTAAGGAACAGTTCATAGAGTCATGAACTTCTGCTCCCATTCTCTGTGATCCACAGAGCTTGAATGAAGATGCAGTTGCTGTCTTATAGTGTACATTATCAACAAAGGAACGCTGTTGTCTGCTGAGAATCCCAAAGGCTTTAATTCATTATAAAAGAAATTCTATTGAAACAGAATTGTTTAGAATTCATTAAGGTATTAGCCCTTTAGGTTTGGAATAACCATATTAAAATTACCATAATTATCCCCCTCCTTGTTTTGAAATTGAAGAAAAAAAAACCCAACCCAAAACAGTTTGTTTAATACCCTTTGCACATCAGCAGATGTTTCAAATAGAGACAAAGTGAAAGTTGCAATATACACATACATTACTCATTTACAAACAGAGACCAGCAAACTGATGAATAAAGTATAACTTTGTGAACACTTCTTACATTGTATTGCGCTGTATTCGAACAAAGTTAGATGAATTTCAACGTCAATTGAAAGTAAAATACATGCAATCACAGCTTGCATACTGAGAGTAAGCCATTGCAACATTTCTTATTTTAAGACACAAACTTCCTTCGTTGCTGCCTCTGTGAAGGAGTTCTCCTCCCACTCTCTGCCCACATGAGAGTATTTAATTATGATACACTTTCACTTTGATTCAGTAATATATTTGGTTGAGGTTTCATATCATGCACAATTCTTTTTACAAGGATATATTGTAAATTACATGAACAATGTACATGTACATGTAGTTGGCAATATTATGTACAATTGTGTGACATTGAAATAATTTGCATTAATTACTAATGCCATATTAAGTACATGTTAATATGAAATACAAGGTTAATGTGGTTGCATATTACAGGGGAAGCACAAGAGGTTACATGTCTAGAAAGATGTTGGTCAGGAAAGAAAAACGGTAGAACCATTTTTTCTTCCTGATCATACAGAACTATTTTTCCTTCCTGACCAACATCTCTGTACATATAGTTGCTCGAACTTGTTCCATTGAATCTAATTTTCTGAAAGGCAGACCACCTAAACTGTTTGTTGTAGTGGTTTTTGGTTAAAAACCAAAGCAGGTTTGACCAAATACTCAGGGAACTTGAATCTCTTGGTTTTCCCCACAATACTTCAGCCTGAGCATGTATCTTGTGACAGCGTTATGTCAAGTTTCTTCTTTCGAACCATGGCTTCTTTGTCAAGTTTAGTTTTGCATACAGAACTTGTGTTTTTAAGCGGTTTGCATGTTTTGCTTTCAGCTACGGTTCTATACTCATACTGTAAGTCTTTATTTAAGGCAGGGAAAGAATTGACACGGTGGATGA